TGCATGGTCCAATATTACATCACAAGCCTAAAACAATAATTTACCTGTTTAATTATGGAGGAGCTTTAACTCAGCTTTATGTTTGTTTAATATATAGAAACTTAAAATTTTCTGAGAATGTGTTTATTTAAGAGCAACTATGCAAATTAACAAACATCTAGAAAATGTAGACTATTTTCTATTATTTTCTATGTGAATCCCAGATTGTTCTTTCCTCTTTGCCTTTTCTAAAAAGTGCTTTCGATCAGCAGGCTCAGTGGCTGAGAGGCAGAACAGGTCAGGATCAGGAAATCAGAAACATAAAGGAACTCTAAAAACTCTCACCACTGGCTAGAGAGAACAAGTATAATCTGGCTTTTATTTCTGGATGGAAGCGCCTTAGATAGAGGCAGGAGCAGGTGGATCAGATGAGCATTGATGAGAAACTGGGCAGAGTTAGACAGGTGAATGAAATTAGTAATTAAGCCAGTCATCAGTGTCAAGATCATGACAGCCAACAACTAAAATCATCATTCTAAAATGTTCTGCAAACTGCTTTAAATCAGTCCTAGCTGTCTTTATCCATAATGGGTCAGATCCTGATGTGTGAAAAAGGAGGCAGGGAAAGCAGAATAAAGCCTTAGCCTCGCTCCATGCAGTTAGCCTAGCCTTGGAGCTAAACCAGGTTCTGGGAAAGGACGATTCTTGTGCCATTTTTCGCTCTCTTTCTCTCTCTCCTATCATTCTGTATTGCAAAGGAGCTGCTGCGCAACTTTTAACGAGTCAGTCAATGGGCAAAGATTTTTGTACCCAAGGGCAGAAATACGTCACCAATCGGAATAAAAAATAAATACATATTAATATATTTTGAAATATTTAAAATGTTAATTTAAAATTTTATTATTTATTTGTATGTATTTTTTTAGTTTTTATGGGACTAGTGGCTTTTTTTTTTTCAGTTTGGGGCCCTTGGCCTGGACCCCTCCTGTAAACAATTGTTTCATGATCCAGTGTTGGACCCTATGAGGAGTTTGGTCCCCACGTCCTTAGAGCCATAACCCGTTTATTTACCTGTTAACTACAATCAGCTGCAGCCAGATTCTTTTGCATGTTTGAACGCCGTGCTGCGATTGGTCCAGATGCTGGTGAGGTTAAAACGCACGCTCTGATTTATTTCATTTAAATTTATAAGGGTTTCTATAAGGATATTATCTCTGCTATGTATTTTTTTCTCTTGGCTCCATGTTGCCTAGCTAATAAAGAGTTTAGAATCACTGAATAGAGAGATTAATCTCCCTGTTTTTTCCACTTTCTGACATCAAACCCGGCGGATGTCCTGCTGGTGACTTCATGCTCCTACAGGATGAGTGAAACATCAGACTTTATGAGCTGAAGTGGTTGATCCTTTCCCCTGTGCAGGATGGCTCCGGAGGTGGCCGCAGTGGAGAAGAAGGGCGGCTACAACCACTTGTGTGACATCTGGGCTGTTGGCATCACCGCCATCGAGTTGGCCGAGCTCCAGCCGCCCATGTTTGACCTCCACCCGATGAGGTGAGTCAGCGACAGGCGCTCTGACTCGGCAGGAAATGTCTGATCGCATTCGGTCCATATAAGGACAATTTAAAGGTGATTTTCTCCCCTCTGATGAATGTTTCAGAGCGCTGATGTTGATGTCCAAGAGCAGCTTCCAGCCTCCAAAGCTGAAGGAAAAAGCCAAGTGGTGAGTATTGAAGGGCTGAGACTTTCCAGACATGATGGAGAACCTTTGTTTCCATGGAGATGATCTAATGAACAATGAGGAAATAAAAACTCTCTTTTTAGACCCCTCTGTATTCTAGTTTCCACTTTTCTCTATGTTTTTTTATCCTTTCTTATAGAAATTTTACTTTTTAAATGCTCAGACAGTATGGAGAGAAATTTGGTTCATTATTATTGAATAAAATAACATGTTTAATGATGGACTTTTTTAAAGAAATGTGTTGAAATTAATGAAACTTTGAAAAAAACCTCTCAATCAAAAAAAAAAGAAAAATCAAACAATATTTTTAAAATTCGCAATCTTTCGATCAGAACGATTACATTCTTTTCATCCCCTTCTTTTGAAGTTTTGTCCTCTATAATTCTAGGTGGTCTGTATGCGGACCACTAGAAATGAATC